TGGCCAGGTTGGTCCTGCCGACGCCGGTCTGGCAGCTGAAGAGCAGGGCTGGCGGGGYCCTGCCGGGCTCGCGGAGCAGCAGCGCGTTGAGGCTCTCCTGAGGACAGGAGACACAAGCGCATGGAGGAGGCAGTGGTGGGCACCGAAGCACCCCTCGAGAGCAGCACACGGCGCTGGGCGCTCTCCCTCACGGACCTTACCCTGAGGAACTGGATGAAAGCATCAAACTGGGCCTCGAGAGGAGCCCCATCCACAGGCAAGGGCAGCCGATGGTACCTGCGAGCACAGGGAAGAGGCGCTCGTGACAGGCAACGGGCCCAGGGGACCCCTGGAGAGGCTCCCTCCACATGGCGTGCTCGGGGGTCCAGCTCGCAAGGGCACCTGTAGGACGGCTGCGTGAACACGGGCCTCCTGTAGACCTCCTCCGTCACGTGGACGTCCTCCTCGCCCCGGATGCGCACAGCGTGCGGCTCGTCCTTGAAGTGCTCGATGTCATTGTAGACGTAGTAGGTGCCCTCGCTCAGCTGTGCGAAGTCGTGGAGCTTCGGGAGACGAGCGCGGCCGTCACAACCCGCGGCCGTCACAGCCAACCGCCGCCCCGGCGCACGGCGACGTCCCCCGCGGTCACCTCTTTGCGGATGGCGACCTCCAGGTTCTGCACCTTAACCCCGCTCTGGAGGCTGTGCAGGTTTTCGTGCAAGTTCTCCTTGCCGCGCGGCGTGTAGGGCACGAAGTCGCTCTCCACGTGCAGGAAGACCACGGGCTCCTCGCGGACACAGAAGAAGACGCATTCCTGCAACGACCCCAGCACGTCCCGAAGGCTACACCAAGAGCAGTGGCTGCTCGCACGGAGGGTTTCCAAAGCCCTTCCCGCCCTTGCAACAGGTTGGCCAAGAGCTCTTGGATGGAGCGTCTTGGCCGCGCTGCCCAGAGCTGCCTCTCTCTTGGAGCACCTCAAGACAYGTCGACATTGGGAGACGTCCGAGGACCCCACGCAAGACGGGATGTCCCCATCCCGCACGCACCTTGTGTCCCTCCTTCTGGATCTTCTGCAGCACCTGCCTGAAGCCGTTGAGGCTGGGCTGCCCCATGCCGAACACGGCATGGCCGCCCTTGGCTTGCCGGAAATTCGGAGCGCCGCAGCTGCCAGTGGTGTTCAAGACGTCCAGCTTGCTGTACACGTCCCTGACCAGGAAATATTTGCCCTGCAAAGGAAGACGTGTGGAGGGGAAAAGGAAGGGCAAAGGTGGAGCGGGATGCAAGTGCCATGCGTCGCGCCCGTGGGTGAGCTCGGCTGCAAGCGGGGAGCTTGGTTAGGGGGAGATCTTCCCAAGACCAATCCAACGTCTCGCAACACATCCCAGGGAGGTCTCCCAAGGCAACTGGGACATCCTGGGACCGTCAAGGGCCTCTCCATGGGCACCCACCTGCACRAGGTAGTGCTCCGGCGTGCCCTCCGAGATGCGCCCCACGGCGTAGTTGGCCTTCAGCAGCTCATCGTGGATCTGGAACTCCTCCCTGCAGTTGTACCTGCAAGGGCACCGCTCGGGAAGCGCCCACAGCCACGGGGGCCCTCCGTGGGGCAGGGGCAGCGAGGCGCGCACTTACGTGATGACCACGGGCGCCACCTTGTTGGTGATGATGGACTTGGCCTTGCTGTTGTGGAGCCCCGCGGCCTGGAAGGAGGGCACGCTCGGCGAGCGCTGCTCCGCCATGGCGCCGCGCGCCGCCTCCGCGGCCGCCGCCGACACCGTCTGCTGGGCCGTGCTGGCCGTCGTGCCCATGCCCACGGGCGGCTGCGCGGCGGGACAAGCCGGCGGAGAGGAGGGCGCTCAGCGGGGCGCTCCGCCCGCCACATCCCTCCTCACAAGGCTCAGGACTGGGCTCAAGACGGTGCGCGAGATGCCCCTGCGCCTCCCCGCGCGCGCCCGTGCCCCGGGCATGCACAAAACGGYGGGGAAAAACGTCGGGAAGCGGCCCAAACGGCAGCAGCACCTTGGCGCGGGCGCCGGGGCCGCTCTGCCGGGGCCTGGCAGCTTGGCCGGCATTCCAAGCCGGAGCGAACAATAGCCTAAATATAGAGCCCGGGCGGGCGCCGGGGCCGCAGCTGCAGGATGCATCTGCCGCAAGGAAGCGCCGCTCGCCCCACGGCCACCGAGGAACCTGCCCCTTCCCGCCCCCGCGGCCCCTGTTTTGGCACTTCTTTCTTTTTGGAAAAGCTCCGGGAGGCCGGGTGCGAGCTTTTCCCTCGGGAAATGCCGGCGCGGCGCGGAAAACAGGAACCGCGAGGTGCCGGGGGCTGGGGCTCCGTGGGTGACCTTTTTGAGGAGGTTTTTCCCAGCGGGATGGCCGGCCGGCGCGGAAGGACGTGACTTCAGCCCGGTCCATCCGGCCATCCAGCCGCATCCTGATCCACCGTGAGGGAAAAAAACCTCCCGTATGACATTAAAAAGATTGGACGGGGAGCAGGTGAGCGGCGCCGCCTCTTGCGGAGCACCCCGACGGCCGGTGTTTTTCCCGGCTTTTCCAGCGCAGCGGCTCCGGGGAATGCGGCCGCTGGGGCGCCGGGCGCAGCCTGTGATTTGCTTCTATTCCGAGCAAACCGCGGCGGGYGCCGGCTCGGCTGCCAGGGCCCTTTTCCAAGCGGGCCCCACCTCCGGGCGCACAAGGGCAGCCTTGTGCGCGCGGGCGCCCGATCCCGGGCACCGGAGCCGCCGCTCCGAGCCGCCGACCTGCCGCTATTTTTAGGCTCCAGGGAGCCCTCGGCACTTCCTGCCTCGCAGGAAGGAAATGTTTCCCCCCAGCTCCCTCCGGGAACGGTCCCACCGGGAGCTGCCGGGGCCGCCGCGTGCTCCGGCGCTCTGGGCTATGGATGGGGCGGGAGGGATGCACCGAGGAAAGGCCGCATGGAGGGTCCAGGCAGAGGGAAAAGGCCCTTCCCAGCGGGAAAGCTGGGCCCGAAACTCCAGCGCCACAGCTGCCGTCTATCCATTCATCCATCCTTCCACCCGCCYGTCCTGCCAGATGGATCCACGCGGGGCCGGGGAGGCTCCATCCGTGCCACCAAAGCACGGGGCACAAGCACTGTGYGGCATTCCCAATCCGGCGGCGCCGGAGCAGACACGTCCCTTGGTCAAGCGGCGCCCGCTCGGGGCCGAACCCGCCGGCAAGCGGCCCGCTGACGGGAGGGACCCCAGACCCCTTTCCCCGCCGTTCCCGTTCCCCACGCGTGTCGCGCGTGGGTCCCCCCCACACGCGCGCGCCCCACGTACCTGCAGCGCGGCTGCCGCTGGGGGCCGCGCGGCTACAACCGCGGGGCTACAACCG